AAAAATGGGGTGTTCCATTTAAAAAAATTAATGTGACCTTGACCTGACCTTCGCTACGCAACCCAAGGTCAAACTGATGTGATCAGTAAATACATCTTTTTAAACGCCACAACTTTTATCTGAAACATTTTTTTCTAAAATGCTTAGTTTTCGAGATATTTCACCGGTCCGAAACTTTTTGAACACCCTGTATATGGAATCTATGTATATTATGTCTATACTATAATTTTGCAAAACGTTTCGAACACGATGTCGTTCGATAAGCAGCATATCAGACACTGCATTCTTCCCAATTAATTGCTTCCCAATTACAAAAAAAATTGCTGCCGAGGCTACAAATATGATTTGCTTAGCTTTGGGGGAAGGTGCTGTAACGCATAAAACCTGCAAAAAGTGGTATCAAAAGTTTCAAAGTAGTGATTTCTGTCTTGGCGATGAAAAACGTTCCGGTGCACCGAAAAAGGTAAAACTTCTGTTTAGGGGAGGCTGCTCCAATGACCTTGACCTTGACATATGTTATAAATGTCATCCTTCTGAGTGACCTTCTGAAGGTTTTAGTCGTCGCTCGTTATTCACTCGTTAAAAAATTATTAACAAAAAAATTTGCATAAATTGAATGTAATTTTTGGACACCGTATATACAAAAACATCGAATTTATAGGCTAGGGAGATGCCTGCCCCTAGCACATACACACACACATATACACACACTGCTCGCTCGTCCCGGCAGGCTCGTGGTGTGTGCATACGTGTATTATTCATATACAGGGTGTTCCCAAAAGGTGGTACCAAATTTTAGGGGTATGTAGTACTCGTTAAAACAAATCAAAAACTCTTAATGAACAGCACTCCGAAAACCTTTTATTTCTGAGTTATGAAGCATTTTGTTCTGTGAAAAATAGAAAATAAATTAAATCTACAATAAATGTTCAATGTGCCTTCGGCTCATGTCAATACACATTTTGGCATGTTTCGTCATTCAATTCTTAATCTAAGTCTACAAATTATAAATTATATAAAAAATATAAACAAGTATTGTTAAATTAAATACAATATTAAAATCTTAGAGGGTTTTTAGATGCAATCGTTACAGATAGTGCTTGCACATTTGATGCATACTGGTTTATTGCATCTAACATATACTTCTTTGGATTTCATATCTTTACTTCTAGGACATTTATTACATCTTACTCTGGATGGCAAAATAATCTTAGATCTTTCAATTTCTTCAATTTTTAAAATTGATGATGAAATTATTAAACGCAATGGCTTATGAATATATTGAGTTGTAAGACGTCTTTTAAGTTCAAGTTCTACTAACTGAAAGGCAAGAGCTTTTATTCTTTTACGTGGAGAATGAGTCATATTGAGTTGAAGATTAAGGAAATTATTTTCACAAAAGTAACGTTAACGGTATAATGGGGTCACTGTGACCGCAGACGAAAAACAAATGCATATAATTCACAGCTATTTATAAATAACTCGATGATCTTTTCTTCTGTCACACTGAAAACTGTTACTCGAAAGGTACTGAAGATATTAGCGCCATACAGTGGATAGTTTAGGAATTATCACGAAAATAAAATTATTTGGGGTCCCTGGGACCCCATGGTATCTATTACGGGTTAAATTATTAAAATATAATAGGAACATTTGCACACACCGCGAGCCCGGGCGGGCGGGCGAGCGCGCGTACGGGCGAGTAGTGTGTGTGTGTGTGTGTGTGTGTGTGTGTGTGTGTGTGCGTATGTTATTTTCTATATATATGAATACATGTATAGGATGTCTCACTCTCCTCTGAGCATTTTATGGGGACGTAGAATGAGAGTTAATGTGAACATAAAAGTCCTATACCGTTTTTCGATATTCACAATAATTATCGAGATATTAATTGTAGAAAATTCGTGAATGATTATGCAGGATATGGTAAACGAGTTATAATAGCGACGACTGCCGTCGTGTACTTATACTTTAGGTCAAATTGAACAAAAAATCCTCTGCCATTTCGCTCAAATAATCGCATAGATTTTTAATTATTAATTAAAGAAGATGAGTGCATTATCACGCAAAATCGTGCAATAATCTTCTTTAATTAATAATTAAAAATTTATGTGATTATTTGGAAAATGGTAGAGGACTTTTTTATTCAATTTGACCTAAAGTATAAGTACACGGCGGCAGTCGTCGCTATTATAACTCATTTATCATATTCTGCATGATCATTTACAAATTTTCTACAATTAATATCTCTAAAAACGGTATACGACTTTTATATTCACATCAACCCATTCTACGTCCCCACAAAATGCCCGGAGGAGAATGTGAGACACCCTGTATATGTACACATATGCACACACCGCGAGCCCGTCCAGGCGGGCAACGAGCGAGCAGTGTGTATGTGTGTATATGCGTGCGATTATGTTGTTTTCTATATATATGAATACTTATTTACGTATAGAAAGATTGTGGAGGAATATGAGAGCAAATATTCCTCGCTACGGCACATGAAATTATCACTTTATAAATTATATAGCTAAATTTTTGTTTAAAAAGATATATGATTTCGATGAACGACTTGATGCTTTCTTTGATGCAAAAAATCATCGGTTACTCCTGGTCAACCATCAACATCGACCGCGAGACCCAATATTCAGAAAGTTTTATTATCTATTTGGTTTTATTGTCTATTTGGTGGGATATGAAGGGCGTGATACATTACGAGTTGCTGCAGCCTGGTCAAACAATTACTGCGGACTATTAACAATAACTTATTCGTTTGAGCGACGAAATAGAAAAAAAAAGACCGTTTACTGGCCGTGGAACGCGTCAAGTCATCTTTGATATAATAAGTTCTATATATCCACTAGATTAATGAAATGCAATGTAACATTATGTAAACAAATTATGTATAAAAATGTAAGATAAAGTGTTGCAAAATTACATGGTATCAATGAAATTTTTTTTGTTAAAAACTTTTTAATAAACATCGAGCGACGGCTAAAACCTTCAGAAAGTCACTCAAGAGGATGACCTTTATAACATATGTCAAGGTCAAGATCATTGGAGCAGCTTTCTCTAAATAGTTTTACCCTGAAAAAATATGAAGACGAGAAACTGCAGCAATTGTTAGATGAAAATCCCGCTCAGAAGAAGATCTTGTATTACAACTAGTAACGCTACAATTTTTATTCGTTTAGATAAGCTGGAAAAAATTCCAAAGCTAGGCCGATGGATTTTGCCCATACTTAGTTCAGAGAACAAATAAAGAAGGTACAATATGGCGATATCCTTGTTAACGAGGTATAAAAGAAAAAGACTTTTTGTACAAAATTGTGGTTGGCGATGAAAAGTGAATTTTATACGACGACCCAAAACGCAAAAAATCATCGGTTAATCCTGGTCAACCATCAACATCGACCGCAAGACCCAATATTCAGAAAGTTTTATTATCTATTTGGTTTTATTGTCTATTTGGTGGGATATGAAGGGCGTGATACATTACGAGTTGCTGCAGCCTGAAACAATTACTGCGGACTATTAACAACAACTCATTCGTTTGAGCGACGAAATAGAAAAAAAAAGACCGTTTACTGGCCGTGGAACGCGTCAAGTCATCTTACAGCACGATAACGCTCGACAGCATGTCGCAAAAGAGACGAAGGGTACAATTTATTTATTAAGCTGGGAAGTTCTCCCTCATGCGGCATATTCACCGAACCTAGCCCCTTCGAACTACCACCTATTCCGATGGCTGCAAAATCACCGTCCTTTTTTCGAGAAAAGATTTACTAGTTGCCTAATAGATGGGGCAAAGTAATCGAAAATGATGGTGAATATTTCGTACACTGTAAAAACTGATGTGTTAAATTTAACACATTTCATGTGTCCCAAATCATCCACTCTCATTTATGTGTAAATTTAACACAACAAAAACAAGTGTGTTAAAAAGTAACACGTATAATATGAAAAAAATAACGTAACAATATGAAAAAAGTAACACGTATAATATGAAAAAAATTAATACATGAAATGTTAAATTTAACACATCAGTTTTTACAGTGTAGATTTCTATACACATACATACACAGTACAAATGTTCAATGAGACGCTTGATAGATATCTTCCGAGCGATATGAGAATATACGAACTTTCTTAAAATGTTCTTAGGATATCTAGTGAATATTTGTGCTATATGGGTAGATATGTTTATTATGTTTTTTTATAAATAAAGACTCAATTTCTCCAAAAAAGAAAGCACCGAATTTATTTTCGCGCCTAATAGAATTACGAATTTAAAATTGCTAATTATACTAAGAGTTTATTTAGGAAACTTCGGACTTCTTCGTCCCATCTGTTACTATTTTTAAACTAAGCTATTTTGGCAAAAATTGTTATTATTATTGTACTTTGACATACTTTGGAAATTGACTGAGCTGCAAAATATTGACGCATGCTGTCGAGAAAAGGCAACCAGGAACAAACACACAAAACTGAAATGCTTTGTAATCTATAAGATAATCAAATCGACACAAATTATATCAATTACAAATGCATAAATTGTCAAAGTTCTTTTTCGAAGTAACTTTTAATCAAAAGTACTCACTTGTAACGGTCCTGGTGCTTATTGTGTCTGAATTCAACGTGGCATCTATGTTCAAACCGTTTCTCTGATATGTGAAATTCACACACACTACAACGTAAGAAGAAATATTTTTAATTTATCAGTTTTAATGTGCTAAACTGTAATTATAGTATTAGGTATACAACTTTGCTTCCGCCGTTTTTTTTCCGAAATTCAAGGCTTTATTGTAAAAAACTGGTTATACATTTATGATTCAAAGTATTGTCTATCGCTGGCCACTACTTTCTCCCATCTTTCGGGCAGCGTACGAAAAAACTGGTCATCTTTTGAGGCAATCCACGAATCGATCCAATTTTTTACTTCTTCATAAAACCGGAAGTGCTGGTCAGCCAGGCCGTGTGCCATTGATCGAAACAAGTGATAGTCAGAGGGAGCAACGTCTGGAGAATACGGCGGGTGGGGTAGGATTTCCCATTTCAACGTTTCCAAGTATGTCTTGACCACTTTTGCAACATGGGGTCGAGCATTGTCATGCTGCAAAATCATTTTATCGTGTCTCTCGTTGTATTGCGGCCGTTTGTCTTTCAATGCTTGGCTCAAACGCATCAATTGCGTTCGATACCAATCGCCTGTGATTGTTTCAGTCGGTTTTAACAGCTCATAATACACTCAAATAACTAATCTATAGGAAAACGGCGGAGGCAAAGTTGTACACCTAATATATAATTTTAGAGATTTACAATTCTTCTCCCTTTTAGTATATAGAATGATAACGCTCTGACAGCAGGAGCAAGAGAAAGACATCGGGCAGTTGCATGATCGTTGAGTTACAGAGATTGTTCTATAAATCAAAAGTCCCCTCGCTGCAGCATTGTCTGAAGAATATTTGATTTATTAGATTCTTAGAGAGAAATTCTCGTATCTCAATCATATGTTAAAATAAACGTAAAGAACACTTAAGCATGTGTGACGAGCATAAAGAATTAAGGGGACTAGAGAGCTTACTCTTGCTTGAAAATCGTGCTTGTTTTTCACAATTTTTTATGACAAACTGAATGAATAAAGTGAAAAAGTGTTATTTTGAGCTGTATTTATACAACATATAAACAGAAGAAAAATATAATTTTGATGATCAAATACTCAATATAAGTGTATATACAAAGTCATCGAAAAGTATCGGACCCCCTAATATCTTCAGTTAGAATGCATTTTGGAGAAAATGTCCAATAGCAAAGTTGTATGGTTTCAAGCGGGGAGTAAGATGATGACCTTGACTTTGACCTTGACCATGTCCTTCAAGGTCATTTCAAGGTCAACCTTATTTTTTTAAATGGAACCCCCTACATTTTATTGCATATTCTTATAGCTTATTTCGAGAGCTTTCCAAAACGCTAGAATAAAACATTTCTTCATTAAGTACTTTTTGAATTATAAAGGTTTGAAGTTAACCATTTTTTGACACAAAATGTAAAATATCTTGTAAAATATTATTTAGTTTTTAGTAATCATAACCTTAATACTTTTATGCGCGGAATAATGAGACCAATTAATTGATTTAAAGAAAATATATTAATCGAAAAGTGTTGGATCCTCCTAATATTTTCAGTAAGAATGCATTTTGGAAAAATGTCCAATAGCAAAGTTGCACGGCTTCAAGCGGTGATGCTAGTAGGCTACGGCGGAATACTGCCCGAAAGTGATCGCGAGAAACTGCTCGAATGCGTGATGTCCGAAGGCGTTAGCGGGAATCTGCCCGAAAGCGTTGGCGGGGCCGATCTTTATTCTCTCACTCTCGCAGGCACCAATGTACGAGCTCTTGAGCAAACAATACGGATCACTGATTTTAATATTTGATACAGTGCTCTCGAGATGAGCTATAAGAAAATGCAATAAAATGTAGGGGGTTCTATTTAAAAAAATAAGGTTGACCTTGAAATGACCTTGAAGGACATGGTCAAGGTCAAAGTCAAGGTCATCATCTTACTCCCCGCTTGAAACCATACAACTTTGCTATTGGACATTTTCTCCAAAATGCATTCTAACTGAAGATATTAGGAGGGTCCGATACTTTTCGATGACCCTGTATATGGTACATACAGTTAAAATATATTTCGTTTTTCTTTTCAAGTTCTTTTCAAGGTTATTTTGCAGTAATTTCTTGACTCTCAGTGATTCAATTAAGCTGAATTTTAGGTAGAAAATTTTCGTAAGCTTGTCGTTATCGTGTGAATCACTATAATAAAAATTAAGTAAAAGTTAATAAAATTGCAAATATCTTGATGAAATATTATTAAATTTTCAGTTCTTTTATAGTAAAAAAATTAAATATTTAATATTTCAAAATTAAATATTTTCACAAGTTTGTCAGTGGTTTATACGATAACGACAAGTTTATGGAAATTTTCTACTTAAAATTCAACTTAATTGAACCACCAAGAGTCAAGATATTACTGCAAAATGAAAACCTTGAAAAGGAAAACAAAATATATTTTTATTTTATGTACCATACACTTACATTGAGTATTCGATCATCAAAATTATATTTTTCTTCTCTTTATATGTTGTATAAATATATACACGTCAAAATAATACTTTCGCATATTCATTCAGCTTGTCATAAAAAATTGTGAAAGAACAAACACGATTTTCAAGCAATTTAACCCTCCAGTTCCCTTAAAATAATACTAATCGACAAAATATGACCTTTTTTCTAGTTTGCAAATACCACGAATGATTATTAGTAGATTTCTCAGTGTTGATTACATATCCGGCCGTAAAAATTGCCTAGCACGTCAGGATTCTAAGAAAATCACAGATAAATATGCGAAAATGCCATTTTTGACGTTTTTGCATGAGTCATACCTTTTAACAAAGACATGATACAGAGTATTACGAGCATGCAAAAAAAACGTTTAATTTGCAGTTAATATAAGTACGAAAAAGTCCGAATCAACACAGAAAAACTGTATACAAAAATGGACATTTTTATTTTTTAGAGATTTCCTTATTCACTCAACATGAGAAACATCATATGGGGATTTTCGATTCTTTTACATATTAGTGACCTCGAAAACTCTCAAATATAGTTTCATTTCATATTACATTGATTACGATGACACAATACAACATTTCTGCAATTAAACTTGAATAAATAGATATTCACAACACTGATGATTACGTTAATTTACTATCGAATTCCAGTGCCGTTTTGCCTCGCACTAAACGCTTTCTGCTTTTTTACGTTACATACATTTTACGTTACATACAATACATACATTTTTTTGAAAGAGTATTGAAAAGCCCCATATGTGTGATGTTTCCCATGCCTTATTGAGCGAAAAGATATGCAAAAACATCAAAAAAAAGAATTTTTCGCATATTTAATTGAAATTTTTTTTTAAATCCTGATGTGTTAGACAATTTTTACAGCCAGATTCGTAATCAGCGCTAAAAAATCTACTAGAAACCACTCTTGTTATCCCCGAACCTAGCAACGTATCAACCAGTATAATTGATACAGTATTATCTGAGTTTATAGAAAAGAGAGAAAGCGCTGAGATATTTTGGTTTTTTTTTTTTTTTTATAAAAATTCTATTTTAATTGTCTCTCCAACACATTATGGCGAAAAATAAAAACAAAAATGCTCTTCTTTTATTAATATTATTATTATAAGCTAAAAGTTATAACTATGAATAACTGTTAGTACTAACTTCTATTAATAGCGATAGCGTCAAGAAAAAAACACAGTCGTATCAAGACAAGAACACTGAGGATATTGAAGTTATTACGCAAGTTCATCTTGCGTGTATTACATTAATTACAACAACACAATCGACCCTTCTGCAATTAAACTTGAATAAATAAATATCCACAACACTGATGATTGCGTTAATTTACTTCCATCGAGTTCCAGTGCCGTCTTGCCTCGTACTAAACGCTTTCTGCTTTTTCACGTTCTGTTCGACATTGCCGGAAGGGATACAATTATCAGCTATTATATAGCAGACCTTTAGAAAACACCCGGAACGGTTTTGTTCGCTTTCGAATTATATGCGAGCGTGCGTATTTACCGTTACATTCCTGTATCAAAAGTGTATTATATACAAATCTATATACTATTAATACTTTTATTTTCGAATCTACGCTTTTGTGAAACGTTACTAAATAAATATAATAAAATAAATAATAATAATATTAAAAAGAAATATTTGATTTTTAGATATATCGAAGTTTCTAATGTGATTTTTTATAAAACTATTTTACTTAATATTCAATTATCAGTTTATATTATAGAACATGAAATAAATTAATAATACTTGTTATTGATTAATTGTTAATAATACATAATATATAATATAAATTTGTGGTTTTATGTTTTCAATATTAAACTGTTTGGTAACAGAGTTAAAGTTTTAGTAGAAAGATATTAATTATTTAAGTTTCAAATAGATAAACTTCATATCTAATCAAAATGACTTTTGACATTTCGGACATCTAAATAAGCTAGACTATGTGTGTGAGTTATAAATGAAAAATTACTTTTTATTACAAGATAGCTTATCGCATTAGACGAAATTTCTTGCTTCTTTAACATATTTCATTTTGTCAAGTCGCTAGTTAGTATTCGAGTCGATCAGTGTCTTTGCATGTACGTGTATAAAATGTGCTGTACTATTCGTAAAACATTAATAGAAGTGCCATTTAAAAGCGATACCGTTCATGATACTATTCAGCAAACTGTTCATTTTAACCAAAAGATTCTTCACTATCTGCGTTATCAGTACGTGAAATTGTTAATTGTACCCATTAGAAGAATCTATATAAAATGTAGCAGATTATTTAGTGCAATACGAGTGATTTGGCATCGTGTTATAATGCTCGGCATCCTTGAAGAGTTTTTCGAAAACGATTATATATAAAAACTTTTAAATTGAATAAAATTAGAACAAGTACGTAAATTTCACACTGCATAAAGGTAATTTCAATATAAGTGGCGTGAAAGAATATCGGAATTCTTAACGGAATTAATGTGTACCATCATGTAACTTTTGATAATCCAAAACTATTTTTTTAGAATTTTTTACTTGTTTAAATGATAATTTATTTATGATATTTATTTAGGATATTTTTGTTTGCAAGTAATTATATTTTTTTATAATCTTGTAAATTTTGTAATTAAATAGGATTTATATCTACACACATATATATATATATATATATTTTTTTTTTTTTTCTACATTTATCTTTTACCAGAAACTGTCCTCATATAATGGACTTTATCATTCATTAGGATGTTGGCGGTGAAGCTGAGCTCTTTGGGGTCGTACGTGACATTCACATAAGTCTTCTGGTTCCACGTATTTTACAAAATTCTCGAGCAACACTCGCAGACACTATTGGCACAGTGGCAAGATCCTTGTCTGCTCGCAATGACTGTTATTTTCTGATCTTGAAGAATTCGCACTGTTGGATATATGTACAATATCAATTATGAAGGAGAGTACGATGAGTCCATTTTAATTTAAATAGCGACTTTAATTTAGATAAATGGAATATTTTTCTTCTTTTATCAGTTTTGATTCCTATTAATTAAAAAAAAAATGCATACATTTTCAGAAACGACGTATGTATATATTAGTATTTACACATGTATAGACGTTATTTCAAATTTAATTGGGGAAAAATTATTTAAAAGTAGAAAAAAATTATGTAATTCAGATAAAACTAGATACGTTTGTAAAAAATTTTTATTTTTCTTATAAAATAAATAAAACATCAAAACAATCTACAAACAAAATTATTTATATAAATATAAATATAAATATATATATATAAACATATGTAAACAAATATAAATTTATATAAACATATGTTAAAAGCTGTATGATAATAATAATAACGCAATAATAATGTAAATATTACATGGATATATATAGGTCAGATCCAGATCTCAGTTCAAATTTTTTAAATGTAACCTCTATTTTTTACCACATATGTTTTTTGATTCCTTTAAAACTTTTTTAAAACACTACAATTTTATCCGCTTTAGGCGTTTCGCCGTTTCAAAGTTATTGAATTTTTTATAGTAAAATGTTGGCAATTGTAGTTTTACCCAAAGTGAAATAAGTGGAAATACTACTATCACATTATATCATATAATATATGTTGATATACTATCATATTATGTGTATGTGTGAAAGAGAGGATGATAGGATAGGTGATGTAGATATGTGTGAATAGGATACATTATTAATTGTTCTATTTTTTAATATTATTAATTAATATATATACTATATATACTATATATACAATATATCATTATTACATAAATAGATATATACATTTATATAATAATAGTAATAAAGTATGCATCTTCATGGCACTCAAATTATTAATAAATTAATTAAAGAACATTTTCAACCGATTAATATCGATTTTCAAAAAATCGAACATTTTCAGAACAAATCGTCATCATCATCGTCGTCGTCATCGTCGTCGTCGTCGTCATCGTCGTCCCCATCATCATAATCGTCGTTGTCATTATCATCATCCGGAAAAAGTTCTACTTGACCCAAACCACCACCGTCTTCTGGCTTTACAAGGGCTAATCCGTTCGCGCCAAATCTAATACAATCGTATCCAATCTGTGAAAACAGACAAACGTATATTATTAGGATATAGAACGTTATTTAGTGTTTCATTTATTAAATCCTAGAATAATCTGACATATTATACATTTGTCTATTATATTGTCTATTATATTAAAATCATCATTATTATATAAAAATCATCTTACAGAAAAATGAGGAAATACTTAAAAAATATTTGTTGCACGTAAATTTTTTTGCGTTTATATTTCCAATAATTATAAAATTGCATAAATAATTTGTGCATAAGATAAAATGTATATGTGTACATTTTACTTGTATTAACTAATTCTAGTGCATACATACGCCATCGATAATATTTTTCACGGTGAATCTTGTTCTTAAAATTTAGATACGAACCTTGAACAATGTGGTATCTTGAAACTTCCCTTCCATATTCACGCACAAATGAATATTTCTGCCTTGGAAATATATATTATAGAATCTAACGCATGCCCTGATGAATGGAATCCTTGGAATAGGAACACATATCGGTCTAGGATTCTTCCCTGCAGATACGATAAATCAAATTAAAGAAAATCGTCTTTTATATACACGTATATATAGAATAATCGTTCCTCCTTATAAACTTTTTAATTAAATAGAATACATATATTTTCTACATTTACCACTTACCAGAAACTGTCCTCGTATAAAGGACTCTATCGTTCATCAGAATGTTGGCGGTGAAGCTGAACTCCTCGGGATCATATGTGACGTTTACACAGGCCTTCTGCTTCCACGCATTGTACAAAATCCTTGAGCAACACCCGCAAACACCACCGGTGCACTGGCAAGGTCCTTGTCTGGTCGCAGTGACCGTGTTATTTCCCGATCCTGACGCTTGCCTCAACAGTGTCCGCAGATTCTCCAAATCCTCCTGCGACGAAACTCCTTCAATCTCGCTGCTAAGAATCCTTCCTGTGATAAGATCCTCGTCGTTCCTTGGTTCCAACAACGAGCTCGACTGTCGACTAAGAGCGACGATCAGCAGTAGCGTCAAGCAAATGACCTTCATCCTGTATCCTTGATCTTGCTCAGCGTTCAATCAAAGCAAGAATACATTTCTTCGTGATATGCTCCTTGCCGAGCGATCGAAACTTGACTGGCCGGTTAACGGACATTCCAGACTGACCCCGTTTTACGGTGAAATTTAGGCTTGGCCGCGAGATGCTTGCTCGCATTTCGTGATCAACTAGAACTCGTCCCGATGAAGCAGAAGTACTCTCACAAAATGCAATCAAACCGCCACGCATCTAATGACCCTTTCAGGACAGGAGATATCTTTTGATGGCCTTCATGCATGTATTTCAAAAACTATCGATCCGATATTTACAAAAATTGGTATGTAGGAGTTTTTTAGGGTGCTCTTTCCAAATTTGAAGTAAAAAATGCAAAATTTAAAATGACGGATCAAATATGGCGATTTTCAAGATGCTAAATTATGTAAATTTTTTTTCTTGGTCGGCATTTTAAATTTCAGATATTCGATTTTAGTTTTCAAAAAAGTATCTTTAGAAAGTTTCATAGTTCAAATTTTACGAAAATTAAGCGGCATTTATATTATTTATCATTTTTTTCCGCCATCTTGGATCACAGAATTTAAAAAATCTAAGTCCAGATTCGGATTCAACGATCTCAAGAACCCATAGAATACGTACTTTCCTATAATTATCTCTCCGAGCAACTCTCCGTCCTGAAAGGGTTAAAAATATACGCGCTGATCTTAAACGCGTCAAATTCGGTTTTATCATTAATTAAGAAGAAAACGTTAATTGAGAAAAAAGAGAATAATTAATACGTTTGTTACTGATAAATATTGTTAATATAAAGGTTTTCAAAATAGTCTATCAAAAAAATGAAAACAAAAGCGACACTTAATGATAAATATACAATATATTAATGACAGATATACAATATAATATAGTTGAAGAGAATAATACGCTAATTTAGTATAAATTTAGTATAAGTTTTTATATGCATCGGATATGATCTACATAATATTTTGGATCTACATAATAGTCTAAATGGATTATTCTTATACAATATGCGTACACATTCTAACTTCGTTCTTATAATTATATGCATACAACACGTTGCACTTAAATATAATAAATAACAAATTAATTAAACGAGGTCATTATAATAATAACATTACAACGCACATATAATTATGCGATTACGTAAAAATCACAGCTTTAATTGACCGATATTGTTCTCCTCTTCAGGAGTCAAGACGGAAGTCTGATTGTTCGGAAATACAGGATCTTGCTCAAAGTCTACGTCGTCGTATACTTCGGGCTCGGTCGCTGCCATCTGAACTTGAAGAGCACTGCTATCGCCTTCTGGTTTTACCCAAGAAACACCATCCAGTCCGATTTGTAAACAATCGAAGTGCAAGATCAAAATTGGCCACTTCAGCACGCGTGTCTCAAAGTCGATACATGCGTGCAAATTGCTGCTGGGCGTGTAGATGTCGAAGAAGCGTACACAGAAGTTTACCATTGGAATGTAAGCAAAGGGCATGCAGAGAGGTGGCGGATTTTTGGCTACAAATCAATTAATTAAGTTACAATACGATCTAACCGATTTAAAAATTCATCGTTTACATATTTAGAAATATAAAAAGATTGCGTTATTGTATTTTTCTCAGTACAGAATAAATTATTTTAGATTAGCAGAAAAAATATTTCGATCAAAATTGCTCACCGGACAAAGAGTTTGTATAAACCACGTTCTCGTTCATTATGACTGCGAGCTTGATGGCAAACTCGTTGGGGTCATAGGTGAAATTGGTGCAGACACGATGATCAAAGTTGATAGCAGTCATGTTGATACCGGCACAACAGCTGCAAGTGAGGCTCTGGCAGTTGCATCCCAAACCACGGAAAGAGATCTTGGGGTTAAATAGAGGATGTCGACTAGTTTCTTCCAGTTCAGCTCTCAGTCCTAGTCGTGTGGTCAGATTATAATACACCATGTTGTATTTGGCTACATCTGAAAAGAAAAAACACCGTTAGACACATTTGTGCTCTAACAATTTACAAATCTGTGAGTAAATATACGTTATTTTAGTACACTAATATTTATCCCTTTGTTATAATATAATTGCTTATATTGTCTCACTAATAAAATGATACTATGTTATAATTTTCTGTTATAATCGTTCTATTTATTCGCAATAAATAGAAGTTTTACCAAACAAAAGTTTCTTCTAATATTCTTTATTAGCAAGTGATAATTTTCATGCTATAAATTTTTGTTTTTATGCGGATTTTAAAAAAATCAATATGTTAATCGCAAAAACACGATTATATTTTATATAATATCTTCCTCACCGATATAGTCAGTGTTCGCAATAATGTCTTGAATCGTTAGGATCAAGAGAAGTGCGCAAAGCCATCTGGATAGCATGACGATCTGATCAAACAACACTCACGCTTCGCTGCCCACGGCAGACTGAAATTGGGCGCACGTTGGACCAAGCAAGTGAGGCGTCCCATTCATTAATTATGCATAAACTTTCCCTAGAAAGCAAGATCAGCATGCTCGATTTTAGATGGCCGCGATTAAGTGATGTTTCGCGACCCAGACGCAAACGAAGACAGAAACATCGTAAGCTTTGTGCGATCTGATTAAAATTCATTAGAGTCAAAATATTACAAGAATAATGTCACATTTTTAACTAACGTAACAAAATAACATAATAATAATATATATATATATATATATATATATATATATATATATATATATATGCGTGCGTAGCACAATAATTCTTTAATTACCAAGAAATTGATTTAAGTTCATTTAAATGTTAAGAAATTGATTTAAGTTTATTTAAGTGTTAAGAAATTGATTTAAGTTCATTAATGTCACTTAAAGATTTTGATTTAAGTTCATGTTCATTTAAGTGTTACATTCAACAATTCGTCTCTGTTCATGAATGAATTGGTTAGTACCTTTGCGAAGGAATGCATGCGGGTTCATCCACTGTAATACCAGTTCCGCTGGACACAGCACTCGAAGATCGAACGACCAATGAGTGATCGTGGTTTAATTTTAGAGTAACGGTTTATTAATGCAAAGACTTATATTTCGCTCGCGAAAACGTTTCGACTGACTCCGTACTTTTCGGCCGACTGGCTTTCTTTTCGCAGCAGAGACCAAGGCTCCCACATATATGCTCACACATATTAGTTCTACGCATCTGTGTTAGAACCATTGCGAAAGAGTTAACCAAATATGAGCAAAATATGAGCCATTGCGAAAAAGTTAATCAAATATGAGCAAATGAGTGTTGAACACAGATGTATGCGTGACAATGCGTGAGATCTTGCGTTAATTCTTTAATGCGGAATACAACAATGTAAGCGCTCGAGATACGCGTAATCGCCGAGCATGTTTGCGCTTTGAATCTCGCTTGCTTTGCGAGATATCTCGCTCGAAAATTGTCTACTGGAGCAGAACGGTTGCTTTAAATTAAGTACATAATGTAAACCGAACAAAATTTAACGAAAGAATGAAAAATAAAATATAATCTTGAACAATCTCAGTGACATTATACTAAAAATTTAGAAATAATTGAAGTGAGTGCAACAGATCTAAGAGGCAAGTAATAGCATAAGTTACATTTATTCAGTTTGCTTAATTACAACGTCAATAAATAACTTAAATACGTACATAAATCATAAATATTCATTTGCTCTTAATAAATAACGTTAAACTAATCGAACAATTTATTATGGCTGAGGTCACGAACAATTCATGTACAAGTCTTCCTCGCAAATAGCAATCCTCAACGAACGAATCCTGACGTTTACATAAAAATCTTGCTGTCGCGCGATCTTATTTAAGCTACTTTCTTTCGCCTAAAGGTATTCCTCCAAGTCTGTTAAATCTTGCGTCAGTCTCCACAATATCCAATAAATAAGCAATTAACCACTTAAAAAATGATAACGTAATCGTAAAACAGAAAACTGCTTATTTTTTAACGACAAAATCAACAACCATCATAAGTAAATAAATAAATCGGTAATCATTGCAAAATTACAAGTGTCCGTTTACAAATAATTAAGGTATCATGACTATTCATCACGCAATTATCGAGAGGCGAAAGCTCTCGCAATTTTATCGTTAAAAAGATACATCACACTGTCACACAATTACATCGATATCCACCGTATTCTCAAATGAGCACTTCGTTTACCCAACGGGACTCTTCGGGTTTCGTCGGGACGAGTAGATCCGCGACCAGACAAGAAGACGACTACTCTCGATTTCCTCGACTTCCACTTATCCTACTGACTGGAGCACAGGTCTATACATTTCTCAAAGCCTCGTGATCTTGCTCTGACGATTTCCTTCGGGATGCCTCTTCCTGGCCAAGAATCCCAGACCAAGACCGTAATCATCCTCGTCGACATTAGGCTTGTTTATCGTGTCACCTTTGTTGTTCTTTTTGTTTTTTCCGGTACCCATAATAGCAGTCAACATGGCTTCGTCCTCTTCATCATCCTCGTCATCCAAATCGTCGAAATCCTCCGCTTTCTCATCTTCATCGTCGTCGAACTTCTCATCGTCCAACTTGTCTTCGTCATCTTCGTCTTCATCTTCGTCATCCTTATCATAGTCGTCGTCGAGAACTTCGTCGTCGTCTTCGTCATCGTCATCCAAAATGGCATCCTCGTCGTCGTCATCGTCGTCTTCATTTTCGTCCTCGTCCTTAATGGGTTTCTTTGACGGCTTCTCAGGCTCATCAATAGCATTAATGCTCGTTGATGTCACTGTGGGTTTCTTCTTGTCCCCGACGACGCCTTTCTTTACTTTGTTAGGGGGTTGTTCCCCTTTGTCAGGTTTCGCGTAGAACACGATTTTGTTAGAGGCTTCAGTGACTTCCTCCTCTTGATTCTCTTCGATGATGTCTTCGTTGTTGTTGTCGACGGATTCCGTCTCCTCTTCTTCGTCGAGCTTGACGGGTTCCTGAGTGCTGTTTTCGTCATTATTCGGTTCCACTGACACATTATTGCCGCTAGTGGACAGTTCATAGTCCTCCAATGGTGCGGGAGTCGTTGGCCTCGTTAGAATCGGTATAGTGAATTGCAATAACGGCGCCACAGTAGTAGGTCTGGGTCTCTTTGTCGTGGCATCGTCGTCACCGGTGAAGATGTCCAACAGAGTGCCTAAGCCCAACAGATCATCGTCGTCGTCCTCATCGTCTGCATCCTGGGCGTCGTCAATTCCTGAGGCATCCGGAACAGAATTTAAAGAAGGTCTGTCGTCCTCATCATCCTCGTCGTCATCGTCCTCATCATCATCCGAACCGAAACCGAAAAAATCATCATCTTCATCTTCCTCGGTGGATTCCGCCTCGACAACGGGAAGTGGTTCGGCTGGTCGAAGCTTCAGACCGTCCGGGCCGAATCTGGAATTCAAGGTAGAACGTGGTACAACCACTAAATAATATGTTAACAAATATTTTTAATATTAAGTTTCTGCAGTTTGCGATAATTAATATTAATTGATATAAACTAAGAGAATATGATGTAAAATTAGATGATTTTTGTTATATTTAATCAATAAATACCTGAAGCAACTGACACGTAGGCTAGCTTCCAATTCAGTAGCCGACTGCAGTTCTAGACCGAGGCAAGCTTTAAAGTGATTCTTTGCGTCACGTTGGATGGAATAAATTCTACCACAAAATTTAGTAAAACCGCCAGGTAACGGCACGCACACAGGCCTCGGACTCTTTCCTGAAATTCACAAGATTCATTGCATAACAAAATGCTCGTGATTATTTGAAAAAGTTGTTAAAGTGCTTAAAAATTCGTAGTAAATTTTATGAAATGGAATAAGATACTTTACGATGCGAATGTATTATTCAAAGTATCTTATGCATATATTATCTGTTGCAATAATTAATATTCAGAATAAATTTTGCGTTTTATCAAGTCAAAGTCGTCAACCACTCTAAGAGACACCATAATCCGTTCATGATAACTGTAATCTGTCTATATAATATTTTACATAAACTATAAGATAATAGTTTCATTGAAAATATTACTTTATAATTATTACTCAATTAAATCTACACATAGAATTCTGTAATAAATAATTTATAAGAAATGTCGATTATAACATAACGAGTTAATCGGTGAAAGTGGCAAGGAAATAACTGTTAATCGTTACCGTTACTGAGTGTGCTTACCGTTAACCATCGTGCTCGTTAATATGTTGTCGCCGAAGCTCAGCTGCATCGCTAAATTGTCACCCTGTAGATATTGCAACGAGGCGCAACCTAGAATTCCAAATACGAGGACATCATTGCTAATTGCAAAGAGAAAATCACACAATATCTTTCAGAATATCGCTTCATTAATATATCTCCGCATGTAAAAATTCTACAGTATTATACATCAAATGTATACAATTTATCTAACAATTTATATAAGACATATAACAAATACGAAATAAATACGACAGATATAGCAAAGGATAACAAGATAGGCGGATAAAACAAACGCATTCTGTCATCGTTCATCACTGCACTTTCATTTTTCGTGTACAATTGCATTGCGCGATAATTACCCGGTCCTTTCAGCTGCACAACCGGTATGTGAAAGTCCCGACAGCAGTTGCAAATGTTCTCGTTGCAGGTGCAATATCGATTCACACTATCGGTCGCCTGTTTCAGCGACATTGTCGACAGGCTCATGTCGCTCTGCTTCGAGTTATCCGCGGCGCGTATCACACGATGTGCCACTTCATCGCGATCTGGAAATAATTGTTACGATTTCAATAAAAACAATATAGAAGTTTTATAATGTTCTATCGGATTGCTGCGATTTATTTTAGAATACGAAATATTTAAAAGATTAATATGTTTTTAACTCTCTTGCAACTGGCGAAATTCTTCCGAGTTACAAAACCATTTTCTCGCATGCACACATGAGATCGAGTTTAGTTCAAAATATAATTCCATTGAAAATTGTTCCATTAAGAATTACTAATCCAGTTCAATTATATCGTTAAAAATTCCATTAAGAATTACTAATTCAGTTCAATTGTATCGTTATTATTTCTTTTTTATTTATTCTCCTTCTTACCGATCACTCGACCGTACGCCGCGAAGGCCACCAACAAAAGGATCAGCAATAACTCGAAAATCGTCGACAGTCGCATCCTTCCGGGTGTTCTAGAAACAATGCTAAGATGGTAAACGATCGTTTAGTATGTGACGGCACGCACGTTTCAGTCTCATTATAGCTTCTTTTGAGTTAATTCCAATAAAGGACATGGAACGTGTAAGAAAAAGTCACACGTCAGTGTTGTAGAACACGAATTTAGAACGTACGTGCCAAAGCAAACATTATAAGTCGCGCAAGATATTGAGTGATCGGAAACAATCGCATTCGATTGTTAATTACTTAATATTATCGTATTTTTGAGCGAATTCTATTTTTCCTCTCGTAAAATGTTATCCGAAACTTAGTTGCTGAGCTATAAAAATAAATAGTTAGCCTCTCACAGACGAAATACGGAAAGTAAGCAGGAGCGACATAATTCACCGTCAGACATTGGGCAATACACATCTGACAACATTTATATATCTTTGAAAATTTTCAATGTGATTGTGCACAATAGCAAATAAATTATTTTAACTTAGTTAAAAATTATTATAACATAACGTGTAAGGGTGAAATAGTTGATTGCGTTCGTGCAAGCGAACTTGTCCTAAGTGCAATATAAACTTTACAAATATGAAAAACTTTAAAAATAAGCACGAGAAAAACTAAGCATTAATCGTGCATTGAAAGTTTTCAAATTAAGATCGCTCCTGCTTACTTTCCGTATTTGGCCTATGAGAGGCTAACTATTCATCTTTATAGCTCAGCAACTAAACCTCGGATAACATTTTGCAAGAAGAAAAATAGTCTTGGAATTCGCTAAAAAATACGATAATATTAATCGAATGCGATTGTTATCGATCAGTTTATATTGAAATCACCAAGAAATGTCATTTTCACATTTTATGACTAATTTGTCACTACAGCCGATAAATTATTTTATTGTATTATTAATAATGTCTGAGATTTATAATCTTCTAATAGATACTTTATAGCATTAATTTAATCAATACATCTTTAATTTTTTTTTTTTTATTAACACTTTAGAGTTTTTTTATTAATAAAGTTGAATAGCCACTAATTAATAAATTAAAATACTAATTAATAAATAAAATATTCGAATAGTATTTGAATAGTCGAATACGTTAAACTATTCACATTAATACAATTTTGAAATAAGTAAAGTGCAAAGATACGATTCTAAAAATGTACCTTCACTCCATATATCCAAATACTTAAAAAATGCAACGGTTTTTTAAAACAATGTAATATCTTAATTTATTTAATTTACATTCAAACACTGGAATTTTCGCGAAAGCTCATTTCGTACACTGAATGGCTTTTGAGACTGCGCTCTTCAATTTTATGCGGAATGCATTTAACTTGACACGCAAAATGCGCATTAAAAAAGTTCATTGAACGTGTTCTTCCATCAGAACTGCCTCTTTTTTCTATCCACCGATAATTATTCTGTATTTATTGTCGGTAGACAATAGACACTCGTTCCGCTCGTCAGTCGACGAGATAGAGCAGTAATGTTCAACCTCTCTATCCTCTGATTCATAAACGTCTATCTCAAACGTAGAATTTTATGTTCTTCTTAGAGACATATAAAACAAACAAGTTATTTACAATATACTCTGCTACCATACAAAATATTTTCTAAAATCTCCGAATATTTTTTAATCATCAATTTTTCGAACAATGCGTGCAGTAGTCGATTATACTTAAAAAAATATATATCACAGATCAAATATATACATATATTTGATCTCTGAAAAAAGAATAAATGATTTCTGTAATTCTGGGTCGTTTAAACAAAACAATATTATATTGCGTCTATGAAACGCTCGCAGATGTGCTATAAATTCGACCACGAATTTGTTCAACTTGCTGAAAAACCTACTGACCACGACAACTGGTTTCCTCGTCTCAACAAGGTTACTTATTTCCACCGAGACGAAGGGAAACGAATTCTCTTCCGGTTTCAGACGCGAGCTCTTCACGACCGGTTGACCTAAATCCCGGTCACGGTCAAAGGCGTCGGAGAGGTGCTGCTCGAGACGATGGCGGACTTTAGTAGCACGATCGAACAGACGTGTGCCTGTATGGCGAGACGCTCGTGTCACCGTTATAAAACGCGTTACACACGGTCAAGGATTGCTGGATACGGTCAGAACGACACTTCCACACATTGCTCTCGACGACGAGCGATCGAAAGAACACATGAATGAATAGCTGAGGTGATTAGTGCGGAAAATTGACTCAGCGCCTATGCGATCTATCGGATACTCTCTGAAACTCGGTGTGACACTCCGGTTAATTAATCTAATTAGTCAATTCGCACGATAACTAATATACAAGTAAATGCGCGATTTAATAAGTAATAAATAATAAGTTTAATAAGTAATATGTGCGCGACTTATTTATATGTGTAGTGAGTATTAGATTTAGATTTTGAATCAGATGTAAGATTTCACATTCGATTTTCGGTGTGCCAACGTTCAATTTTTCTACATTCGTGCGTCGAATATGATCCTCCCAGTATCAAACGCAACTTCCGTCAGCTTTGCGTAATGTATAAGGAAGATGGAAGATACTCACGTAGCGATTCTATTATTTATATAGAGGATACCGCGTCTTTCTTAAATAACCTCTGTCTCATTTGTCGAGCGCATCTTCTCAGAAACTCTGCTAAACGCAGTTAGAAACTGAATTGCGTTGTTAAGTACTCGAAGAAACTGAGTTACTCGCGTAGACTATAGGAACCTTCCGCTCAAACGTGGCACGTTTTCCAGGTTTCCCGGGCCTCGAACGGGCAAATTGTGCGCAACTCTGCCTACCTGTGGGTCGTTGAGAAGAAATCCGAGGAGGAAGCCCGTGCTCGTCCTCTCCTGTCGCACCCTACGGCTCTTTTTCCCGACTCTTCGTCTTACGGAGGCCAATGTCCAACTGAAGATGCCGCCCAACTCCCCCCAAGGTTTCTTTAAAAGTCGGTCAGGCCACCACCACCTGCCGCCAGGCCGCTGCTAGGATTATTAAACATTCTAATGCGCTCTAGGTAAATCAGAGGAGGACTCGGTGCTGCCGGCACCAATCGTCGCACACTATCACCGATCATCCGTGTCCTTCGTGCGACGACGATGACGACGACAACGACGACGGGCGCTACGACGACGACGACGACGACGTCGTCGTTCCGACGACGAAAGCGGTCAACACCTTTCCATCTCTCCGCAAACCGGTAACACAGAGGTTAATGCGGTGCGCGCGGATGAATGAAGAGGGTTCCGGGCTGATTCAGCTCGCACGAAAATATCGGGAGAGATGAAACGTCATGTCGCGGTAACTTCCGTCGATCGTTAAATGCGTCCGGATTCCGGCAGAAAAAGCGACAGGCCACTTTAGCGACGCGATGGTCTTCGCGGCGCGCTTATCGGAACTCGTTTTGACTTTGGTCGCTTTGAAATAATCTCTAACATACAGGATATTCTCCCAGATTTTTCGGGAAATATAGAGGTGAATGTTTGAGAAAACAATGTGAGAGTACTTCAAAATTTTCCGGGGTATTTTCTCCCGATATCCTCTTTTCTTGCCGAGAGGAGGGAGCTATCTAATTAGTATAATTTGCGCTTGCTCTTCTATAACAATGTGTGTGCGTGTGAGACCTGATTTTCTATCGATGAAACCATATCGCGCAGGTGACTCGCGATGCATCGACAATCAACGCAAGTGACATCCGTTCCTCATTCGCGTCGAACGTGCCGATTGCTTCGACACCCACATTACCACACAAGCAAATTTCATAGCGTTCTTGCTAATCATTTGAATCTCTTTGTGATATGTTCAGAACACTTGAACAGGTTCTGTAACTCTATGCAAATCAATAAAAAGGCTGTAACTCGGTGATGTCACTTGGTACTTTCCTTTGTAATTATTAAACCTTCTTCTCAATATTATATTCTTCAAAAAAGTAGAATTTTCTGTAGTATATGTACCACTTAACAGTCCAACGCGCATGATTTTGCCTTTCAGGCTTAGCATGATATTATCGTGAGCCTCAATTGTCAGTCTCGTAACAGATGGTGGCGCTATTATTAAAATAAAATTAGGGACAGGTACGATGATATATTAGAATCTTTCCTTTATTACCGTTGTATTACAAGAATACCGTACATCATCCGCCGTGATGAAACCGTCAAAGTTAACGTAAGAAATTGCGAACGACACTTGACTCTAAACCTGCGGAAGTCCAACGTTGTCGACCGAGTCGTCTTATTAGAATTTTCCCGGAACATTCTTCCGATTTCCCCGCGGCAGTGGCGCGAACAGCCGGCGACGACGCGTCCATAAACTCCGTGCGAAGCGCGAATGCCACGGTTCGCGACACAAATTCTAACCGAAGACCCACTTTCGTGCGCGTCCAGTCTCCGCGGGAGTTTCGTCTTGTCCGAGAGAAGAAAGAGGAAAAATATCCGGAACGCGGCGAGCGACGAGCGAGTGCAGCACGGAATTAATGCAGATGTTCGTTCGTTCGTTCGTCCGACTCAGCCCGGCCTCGTGGAACTCTCGGTGCGATCCACGGAATCGTGTTTTGGCGGTTAAGGAGGGGCCTTTCTCTGGTTAGTGGGTCGAAGAAAGTAGTTGCCATCAGGAGTGGTTCACCTTGGTTAATATTTGTTCGTTCGCTCCCCGATATCCGATATCATGGCCATGACTCGACAGCGATGGCACCAAGTCTGTCGCGAGTAATGTCAAAATTTTCCAACAAAAATCGCCCAACATAAATGGTCTGGAACAAAAATATAAAAGAGTTCGAAACATTCCGTTCAAGACGCACAAAGTGCATAAAATATACAAGCGTGCGAAAATGCGTTCCAACATTTTCAGGCATTCGGATATTCAGTGAACATTTCGTTCATGTTGTGTTTGACGTATCGAAAATAAACACTCACGAGCGTGCAGCACAATTGCTTAATCGAAAAAAATTGCCAAGGATTCGCTCGGGAGAGCTTGACGACGTTTGAAGAGCTAATAAAACGCGCGAGGTCCCGTCGACGACTGAATCACGCCGAAACAAACGAAGAGCGTCGAATTGATCCCATCGCTACCCGGGCTCTCGTTCACCAATAATAACACGATCTTCGGGGATTTCCTAAGTTGACGAACGATACGAGCGACCCGGGGATATGTGGGCCATCTCTCGATCGGGCGGGGGGCAAACAAGTTTTTACGTAACGTCGTGGGATAATGGCAGTTCGCGAATGCTGCGCCTCGCATTCCTTCCGCCGCGAAAAGAAAAAGAAACGGGCGATCTCCCGACACGAAGTGGCCGCACTTCGTCACGATTAAAACCGATAGGTGCGATTAAGGTGGAGAGTCGCGCGGCCGTGACACTGGCGTTTCGCGAGGCTAACGGCGGACGCTCATTTGCCGGGCGTAATTATCTAACCGAGACTGTCCGACGATGATCGATGACGGGACGAATTGCAACTGGGTTGCCTCTCTGATCACTTCTTCCGACGTAATTATATAACCCGGGAGAAAGCACGATTTTTAGCACGATTTATTTCGAAGAGATTACGAGACTTCCCTCGAGATCTGGCCTACTCCCGGTCTACGCAAATCCGACAGGTCTCAAACGTGTCTGTCCTTCGAGGTAGGTTTGCGCGAACAAATAGATGGATCTACGGCTTTGTTATCGCAACAAGTTAGGTTTCTCCTAGCGAGGAATCTAGAGAAATGTCTTTTCACCCAATTCCCCATTGCGACGTGATCATGTCAGCACACATTTCACGTCGTTTCCTTGCTTCGTAGTCACGCGTTAACCGCGCCCACGCTCGTTCAGAGAGAGAAAGAGAGAGAGAGAGAGAAAGAAAGAAAAAGACAGTGTAATCAATAGCTCGGAATCGTAAGTGATCTCGCATCAGTGGTCTACGAGCGGACAGACGGCTCGACTTTTCTTCAAACGGTGAAAGGCGAGGAGAAGGTTCTCCTCCGCGAAAAAAAAAAGAAAAAGAAGAGAGAAAAAGGCCAACGATGTGTAGCGTGTTATTACATTAGAAAACGCTCACGCGCAAAGTAAGGCGAGCTTTTTTTGGACACGTCAGAGACGTTAGAGAGTGCTTGCTCCGTCGTTCGCGGAAATTTTGCGCGGCACGAGGCGCGTGCGGAAACCAAGCGTTAGAGAGCAAGAAATCGGTAACGTCGATAATTAACCTCGATTGCGGCACATTTAGCGATGTTACGAACCACTATGAAGAACACGCCTCTCCGGCGAAGCGTTAACAATATCTCTTGAGATTTGTACTCGACGCTATTGTTAAGCGCGCACGTTGATAAGTGGACGCTCTCTTACGAGGCGTTCTAGAAAAATTACACCTTTATCGCGTTCCGATCTCACGAGAACAGAATATTCGTGACAGAGGCATTTTAATTGATCGTTCGGCTTCACGCGCCGAAGGATCACGCGCGAGAGCGTGAAGATGCAGGGTGACAATTGCCGGGGAGAAAAAGAGAGAGAGTCTCCGAAAAGACACACGTTCCTCCTGCACTGAGAGAAAAATGTATGATATTTGGAACTATAATGGCATAGTAAAAATATTATAGTTAGGAATATAATTTTTATAGTAAATGTTACCATAATATTTGTAATATTTACAATATAAGTATAGTATAACTGACCCGTGTAAAATTTTTACCAAGAATTATAATTATTTGAAATAAAAAATATGGTAAGGTGGCAAATATTGAATGGTAAGAGAAATTAACTATTTTATATAGTCAATACAATTGGAATATTTGGCAAATATAGGTACATGTAACTATATTCCCAAAAGGTGCTTTACCATATATATAGAGTAATAAGATGGTGACTATAAATCTGTGTTCATTCTACTATATCTTCATGTTTAGATGAACTATAAATATATATAAATACTATAAAATACTATAAAATACTATAAATATATGTTTGAGACAAAAACGAACTATAAAATATAGTGAGATTATAGTTATTCCAACTATTTTTTTCTCTCAGTCCCCACAATTTCAGGGACAAAAAGTCACGGATCTGTCACAATACCCTCCAAACCTTGAAAAAGCCGTTCCCCGCATCACCCAGTCCTTTCAACACCACAAAGCGGATTATAATCCCCGAAGAGGAGCCAGTTATCTTCTGCTGCCCCCACGCGAGCCCTACGACGAGGCGACGCGAGGCGACGCGTCGCGTCGCGTCGCGACGTCGCGGGTCCCCCGAGTGGTACCAGGCTGACGAAGGAGGTCACCCGGTCACCCAGATGAGGTTCTTTGCCCGCCGTTAACCCCCTCGTCGCGTCGCCTCGTCGAATCACACCGACGCCGGCGGTGCCCCACCGTCGCCGCGGCCCTGGCCAATCCTGTCCTCTGTTTTCGTACCGACGGCCGACCGGTCGGCGATCCGACATCCGCGGCCGGCGGCGTGCCCAGATTTAAGCTTCTTCCTTGCCAGGCAGGATCTCCGCTCAGCCTCATCCGCGTTGATCCTTCATTTACGTCTCTCGTGAGGTCTTAGTCCGGTACATCCGCCCGTTCGCCGCCGATCCGGCCGCTCGATCGAGGGATCGAGCATCGTTCTCTGTTCTGCGGGAGCGCCTGGGCAAACAGAATAATTGGGCAGCGACATGGCTGTGAAGGCCACGGTCTTGGTGCTGATGGTCACGCTGGTGGTCGTCGCGTCCGCTGGATTGCTCGGTGAGCAGATGGATTGTTCTGTGGCGTAAAAACGGGGTTAAGAGCGTTGGTGAAGACTCGGGCGCGCGAACGGTGCTCGCGGAATCGCGACCGGAGACTTCAACGCGTGGACGACGCGGTGCACGTGTTTCGCTGACGACACGATCGCGGCCGGCCGCGCTGTTGTTTGAAATTGTTCATTAAACGATCGCTACTGTAAGCAAAAAACTGGGGAAAAAAGAGAACGATCCGTTGCTTCTTTACACACTTGAGAAGCAGAAGAGCGTTGACGTATGTTGTCGTGTATGCCGGAGCAAGTTGTATCATTTTGTTCGTAAATATATATCGCAAGCTTCATATTCGTGAATATTTATATTACGTTAAATAATAAGACATTGTATTGTCGTTTCATTGATAGTGTTATTCATTATTATCTTGTTAACGAATTAATGAAGTGACTTTAAATAATGTCAGAACTATTTCCGTTAAGTCATCCGAGATAATAATACAAATTGTCTTCGAACTTTTCTCACACGGTACCAGTATTTCTAATTTATAATGTCTAACGAAAGAAAATCTTTCGTTGCCTTTGTCACCACACTTTTCAACTACGTCGATCCTTCTGGTTAATTTTGAACACGCGAGTTATCAGATTACCTTAATCACGTAGAAAATACTTTGTGCGATTTCAAATCAACATATTTTGCTCCAAAGAAATGTAAAAATTACCGGGAAACAAATTAGGAAAACGCGAGTGGTCCAATTAGACGTGTCTTTTGACTTTATTTTCGATTTCTGCTCGAAAGTTCTAAGTTCTCTTGTTACCAATATATAATTCTCGTCGATTCATAAAATCTATAATTGTCTACGAGATTCAAAGAATATTTATAAAAGTATCACTCAACGACTCGGCTCGACAATACGCAATGAGAAAGTCCGCCGATGGAAATCCACATTGGCACACTTAGCGTCCAGGTGTTAGCTCCTTCGGCCCATTGTGGCACATGAACGACACGTAAAGTCTTCAAATGTCACAGCCTGATTCGTCATTCAGGCGTCTGAGGAAGGCCCAAAAGAGATATCTACGTAGCGCGCAGTGAAACGCGTAGAAATTCGGCTTCCATTTGACTTTCGATCGGCAACTTTCGTTTCGTTCCGATTTCTCTGTTCCGAGTTTCTCTGCCGCGCTCGTCCCTTATCTCTCGTACACGCGCTCACGCACACATGCACGCATACGTACACACACGCACGTGTTTCCTGTCCATAGAGACCCTGCTGTCGTGGGACTTGCCGGAGGTCGAAGCGAGATCGACCACGCCGCAGTCCAAGTGCCTTTGCCAGACATCCGGCTGCCTGTGCTGCGTCGATCTCAACCTGACCTCTACGATTGACCTGGGTGGCCCGGCTTGCGTCAACATTAAGCAGAAGGAGCAGAACGTCTCCTTGAATCTGAGCTACGGCGACAACCCGATTCACAATGCCACGATAAGGATCGGCAAGTAGTCACGTCTACAGAAAATCAAAAACGAGAAAACCTTCGATTCATATGCTAACAGTTTAGTGTTACCATCGAATTGTTTTCATATGCAATTTTAAATTGCCAACATAAATTTTAATCCGCCTCATTTCGGTACACAAATCAGTCAAATTAAACTCTCAGTCGTTGACGATCGTGATTTTGCAGCGAACGCGGCCAATAAACCCACATGCATGAACCTCTTATCGGATTTGGCGCAAATCTGCGCGAGATTCGCGTCAGTGAAGCAATCTGACATCGGTGGCTACGACGGTTGCATGGTGATCGAGCCAGCTTTACTCGGCACACCGCAAGCCACGTATCACATGGGATGCTTCAACTTCTATCAAGGCGTCCGGCAGGTCGAGGTGTCCGCGTGAGTACTCTATACGACTCTACTTCACCCGGGAAAACAATGCACGAAACCAAAACAAGAAACATCGATATGAGATTTTTCGTTATCTTCTCCCGAAAATCTGCCATAGTATCACAGAGACGACGGAATCGGCCGACCCTTCGGACGACGATGACGACACCTTGAACACCGACGAACTGATCGCTGCAGTGTCAGCCAGCGCCGAGCACGGTATCGCGTTGTTCTCGCAGTGGCTGGGTCTCAGCCTGAATCCGAAACTGAACTTAACCAAAGAGGACAGTCCTCAGGATCAGCAACAGCGCGCCGACACCAGTGCGTCAGGTTCCTCAAGATCCGCCCGGAACATGTTGGACATCCAAGAGAAGAGTGACGAGCGGTTCAAGCAGTTGCTCAGCGCCCAGGACAACGTGCTGAAGGGTTCAGCAACCATCGGCCAGTCCAACGGCATGCAGACCACCTTCGTGTATTCCAGGCCGAGCGATCTGATGGTCGGGAGCAACAACGCGACCGAGGAGGCCAAGAAGAGGCTGGAGACGGAAGCGGCGGTGCCGCAGCACCTGGTGGTGGTGCCGAAGGAGTCCAGGAGAGGCGGCAGGGCGTACAACATTCACCAGCACGTCAACGAGATCTGAGAACGATCGGATGATTTGATGGTCGCGCGGCGACAGACTGCCGGCGATTCTCTTCCTTAGAGCTTAGGATGGACCGCACGTAGACTACACTTGTACGTATTGCACGCGGAGCTGGGCGCTGCTCAAAGGCTGAAAACAACGGCCTCGTTAATTGTATTCTCACGATTACACGCGCACTAACGTCGAGAGTCGGCTGTTGAATGCCGCGGCCGTCCCGCTTACATCTGCCCAGCTCCGTCCGTATGATCTCTCGCGATTGTGATCACGTTTGCTCTCGATTTCACTCCACCGGTCGAGATCGTCGCCTCTCTCGCGATAGTGTATGTACCGCTAACCCTCCTTTCCTCCTCCCATTCAAACTCATCCCTCGATAATTATTCACAGAACATGCTGACTGAACGTACCTCGGATTCTACGTTTCGCCGCGAAGTAATGAGCTTCATTTGTAGTAGCTGCACTCGGACGATCCGGTTGTTTTATTTCCACGAGAGAGGAGAGATCAAGGTATCGTCGTGTCTCTCCTGCCGGTATATAGATCGTGACGATGTCGTCTCGATGTCGATAGCGTAAGTAACGAACGCTTCCGATCGTGCGTATTTATTTATTTTTCTTTCTCGTTTTCGCTGCTGCGGGAGTCGTGTACTAAATAGAAAATACAACGATGGTGTCTCTCGCGCCGCTCGTGTTTACATACTCGCGGCAACGCGAGTCTTGCACTTGTTCGCGGCAGACCGTACACGTTGTCTAGAGCGTGATAAAGATTTTACCGAGACCACTTATAAACACATTCGCACATTCATATACACGCTCTCACACGAGCACAGTGTACGGACTTGCCGGCGCAGGTCACCGCATCGTGATGTAATCTTGATTGAGACAAACTTTTTATTGTATTCCGGCGTTTCCTGATGAATATTAGAGTACACGAAGCGAGATAAGAATCTAATGAGGGGTTCCCCTGTCAATTCAGAACGGCACGCGATCCTCGTGTGCGAAATTTTCTCTCGGTACGCTGCCAGGATAAACTATGTAATATTGCACGTTATTTATATAGCTCGATACGCAAAGCTGAATAAAAGTTGTCTAAGGGAGATCGTGTTCCTTTATTCACAACACCTTCTTTATTACGATATAATTTTAAATGTCATGTTCATAGCGAGGGAACAACGTCCGTTTCTCTTATCACGCGCTTCGATGTGTACCTGAAAGCTTTGTTTTTGGCGAGAGCACTCCTTTTAGTAACGAGACCCTCGTAGTAAGGTTATAAAATCGCGAGCAAGTATTGAAGAATGCCCATTACACAATTTCACTCCCTAAGGGCGAGTATCGATGTTAATAGCGATATTGATACATTCTTAGCTACTGATTTAATACATCCTAAATTCCAAAATTCTACCTTCTTTAAAGTATCTTCTTACGGTTTTTCTTGAAAAAATCTTACATCTTATATAAAATGCTACGTATTTAAAAAGTGATTACGACATACCACACACTGAGAGGAAAAATATTTAAGAAATAAAAAAATATTTGTTCTTTGGGCGCTAACAACATATTTACTTAAATCTAAAATTTTTCATTTGACTCAAATAGAACAATTCTCAGAAGAACATGATGACGTCAAATGACATATTATTGGCATCACTAACGTTAAAGGCATCACTAACACGTCACTAATACGTTATTTGTCGTCGCCTTGCTACTTACTTCGCTTTATCTCACAAATAACTACGATTTTAGGAAAATATATATTTCCTCATTTATATATAAAAAATTTTTTCTCGATGTATACATTAAATATAATAAAAGTGTATACATTAAATATAAGTAAATGTGTTATAATACCCACCGAATAAATAATTTTTATTTTTTAAATATTTTTTTTCTTTTTTAGTATGTAGAAATTATTTTCGTTTGTCTGTATAATATCTATAAAACTTCGCAAATAATATTCAGAGCGAGACTCCCAAGTGTACATTTCGTTTAAATTAGCGCGAGCGCGATTGCACGGTCGGAAAGGTCGATTACAAAAGTATTAATGACATTACGAAGTCTGGAAGACGAAAAAGAGCTGCGCGTCAGCCGCCTTGGCCGGAACTGTGCGTGTATCGAATCATAAGCCCCTTACAGCTAAATATGTGTCAGGACCATCTGTGATCCCGAATTCACGAACGAGTGCAATAGATAGTGCACAATTTCTTCGCACAACACTATGTATATTGTCGTCCCTAAAGCAGCGAAGCGGGCATACAAATTATTTCAAGCGGAATGTCAGACTTGTGACGAGTCACATCTCAAGTTCTTCACGATTTTGCCTCTGTCATTCACCCGTCAACGTCTACGCGTGTCAATGAACGAAAGGGACGCTTTCGGAACTGTCGTTTCAATATTCCGCGGAGCACGCATTTCGTTTCACGATGTAACATCTTCAGATTAGCGGCGATCCTAAACCTCAGTTATTATTATTACTCGATTATTAAGATTCGTTACACCTTGAAAAATGTTTATAAGAAATATATAATCATTATACGTATATGTATATATCACTGTATATATATATAATCTATATATGCGCGTGTGTATATATTTTTTTTTCTCGTTTTCCTTTCGCCGTTTCGCGGTTTTCAAGAAGCTTTCAAAAGGAAATATTATAGAAGTGGACTAGATACTAAGAATGTTGCTTCCTCTTAAAGTAAACGTCTCGCTCGCTTTGTCAAAATATATGTATATATAGTATATATAGATATGCGCTTTTCTCTCTCTACACGTGTCTTTCGTCTTCGTAGTAAAAATATTTTTTGGGCTTTATCTTTGGGCGATCTTCGTTAGTCTACGGTTAAAAAATAATTCCCTCCTCTTAACGCTGCAATTACTTGGACTTTGGAGATCCCGTTATACGTACCCAATCGCAAAAGTCTGAGCAAGAAGATATTGTACGACATTATTGAAGTTGACGAGAGATCGTCAAATTTTATTCTTAATATATCTTTAATGTATACATTAAATATACACAGAGAGAACGATTTGGTTGAATCAAATAAACACTTCTTTGGAATAGTTCAAACGAATTTTTTGATTGATGGAACAAAATTTTGTTTCACGCAACAAAAATATTTATTTGCAGCTTAGTTCCAAAGAAATATTTTTATTGTGTCAATTAAATAATTTGTTTGGACTATTCCAAAGAAATATTTATTTGATTCAATAAATCGTTCTCTCTGTGTATAGCACAAATTTCCGTGTTATTAGAGAATTCAGTTCTCGTCAATGTTAGACTTTTGTGATACAGGTATACGCATCATATCGGTCAGGTCAATCAGAGATAATTCATACCTCGTTTGTTTCGTTGATTTGGCATACACGTGAACAAACGTCGCTTTGTTCGCCGTTAATTGTACAAAAGCCGCGAGAGATTCTCATTCACTTTACAAAAATAAGTCGTCTGTTAATCACTAATTGGAGGACTTCGTTGCGTAATATTAGATTCCTTCGAACTGCCATCGCTCACAAAGATAATTGCGATCGCGAGTGTTTTATAAATCCGCGCTGCGAATGTATAAATTCGCGAAGTAATTATGTCTCCAATATTAGCCGAATTTTTCTCAAATCATCTAATTCATTAATTCGCTTCAGAATTTATATATTCGCGTGAAAACAAAGTGGGAAAATGCAGTCGGGTCGAAAGCTTGAACGATCCTCCGTTGCACCGATACTCCTACACTGAGAGAAGAAAATAAAAAATATTAATTCGGTGAGTGCTGACGACAAATTTACTTATCTAATTCCATATCCTAGTCGAAATCTAAATTCTTTTATTTAAGTAGGATAAACAATTACTTTCTCATTAAAACGGTGTATGTAAAGAAAATGCATATCTTGTGTGTGTTGAAAAAAATTGTCTCATTATGAAAGTATATATATTAGGATAAGTAAATATGTCAGTATCCACTGAATATTTTTTTATTTTTAGGTATTCTTTCTCGCAGTGTAGTAATTTTACGTAGTATTAGATAATGATTACGGGTTATCGATAAATATTAATGTTCGATATAGCGAGCGGATCGACCGCGTTATACGGTTAAAACGCGTTTTGATTCGACAGCATCCGCCTCACCGTTTGATTATGATTGTTAGATCGGCGTGAGACGTTGCTTATCACTGACTCACTCTTTTCGCATGCTTTCGTGAGAAGAGCTGTCGACAATTTTGCACTCTTCTTAATTCGATGACGTAAGAAAACGCTCATTCCTGATAATCCCCTGGCTGGTAATTGTAAGCATTTCTCGTTGTCCTGGCAGGATCCGAATATGTGAAAGTGAAATGCCATGCAAGACACGCAAACACGCGCGCACACAGTACCTTTCTCGTCTCGCCTGTAAACTTAACCCTGAAGCCGTGACACGAATGTAGATTTGTTCTTTCTAGATATAACGCGTGTGTTACACTTTGTGTGTTTAACACGCGGCAAGTAAGATATGTAGCAAGTATAGAAAAGGAAAAAATGTATATAATGTGCCGGTAAAAAAGAACGGATCCTCTGTCTTTCTCTCTCTCTCTTTCTCATATCATACGAAAGTATAAGAATCGTAATGAAACGTATTGATCATACGTACTAGAACTTATGAATAATCGCCTTGTCTATAAAATATCTTCTTAAATGCATCAATTTTTACACATGTAACCTTAACTTCTTTAATAAAAAAAAATAAACTACTTACAAAAAATGTAGGAAGAAAGTTAACACAATTTAAGGTCAAAATTTTATGTAATTTCGTCTCACGAATCGAGGGTTAAGACAATCAAAAACCTCACACTGTCTCTGCACACTGTCTGTTGCGATCTCACGCGAACCATTGATAGCAATAATAATCGATATTGCTGAACGGTGAATCTTTGAGTAGTGTGGAAGATCGAGTTTGCGGAAGAAGTCCGAGATTCGACGTTAACTCGACAAAACGGCGAATTCACTTGACGGATTGTCTCGGAACGGGATTTACCGGCGCCAGGGTCAAGGATTCCCTTTTCTTCCTGTTCACGCGACGTCCCACGTGCAGTACGACGTCTCCAGCCTTCACAGACTTGAATTCGGCGATCGCCTCGGCGTGGGTCATACCGTGAAGAGGTTTCGAATTTATCGACAAAATTTCGTCCCCTGTAAACATGGAAAATTACGAATTAATAATGCGGTATTATCTTTATTCGCGATCCATGATTCGTCAAACTCTATTACCTTCTTTAACAGTCCCTAAGTCAGCGGCTTGACCATTAGGGAAAACGGTTTTCACGTAAATCCCCATGTTCCCTCGAGGACTGTCGGTACCGCCGACGATACTGAAGCCGAGTCCCTTGTGCCCAGGACCCTTGAGAAATCTGGCAGTCAGTATCGTGAAGGATGCGCCGCTCTTACCGGGTCTTGGCAAGGTACAGAAACGTGATTCCTCGCCCTCGGCGGCCTCGTCAATATCCTCGAGCTCCGAGTCCGTGTTCAGACCTTCATCCGCGTCTTGTGTACCCTAAAACAAAAATTGCAATTACAAATGTACATGTTGTTAAATCGCATGTTATTTTTCTCGTTTAATTCAATTTCAACTATTTTTTTCGTTGTATAATCGAAAATAATTGTTAGAGGAAAGCACGAATATCGATTATGTATCAAGAGAGATTTGATCTTAAAATGTCAAAGTTTCTATATGCGCAAACTCTTTCGTTATGTTACGATTATGAAAATGTAACAATGTGTTATACGCTATTCCAACGAAATCTACTCACTTGCCAAGTCTTCAAGTTCGCTCCCGAAGAGCTAGGAATATTCGCGACGCTCCTGCTGTTGAGCCTCTTCGTCGTCCTCTTGCCGGGACTTCTGTCTATACCCAGACTGGATGGTCCATCCTCCTTACCGCCAACAACCAACGTAGCCTCGGTCGAGTAATTATTTACTTGTCCGCCGAGCTTAAACTCGGACCGCTTTCTAGATGTTACCCTGGGTATGTGTATCTCCTCGAACGACGGTGCCGACTGGTTCTTGGTCTTCGCGTTTTTCTGGAAGTGCACGTTCTCGTACGAGTGCTCCCTGGTCTCAGAATTACTCCTGCCAAGGTGCCTACCCACGTAAGGGCTGGCGGAAGTTACCAAGTCGTCACGCTGACCGCCTCGCTGAAAGCGTACGTTTTCGTAAGAGTGATCGTGCACACTGGCGTCGGCACGATTCTCCGAGTTGCTGCGTTGGAGCACAGGACGAGTCCTGGGACAAGACGGCGTGGGCCTGGAGAACGCTACGTTCTCGTAGAGATCCTTCTGTTCGTAGGCCTCTTGGGAATAAGTGAAAGTGTCGCCGTTGCTGTTTAACGGGCTGGTACAATGCGGGGAGTTCGGTACACTGCCCTCCGCCAGGGTCTCGAGGTTGTCGTGGAAAGGATAAGGCGGAAGAGACGTAGGCTCGTTCGAGTCGTAGTTCTCCTCGAAGGTCTGACTGGACGACGAGGTGAGCGGACTTGGCACGTAAAAGCTGGACGCGTTGTCCTTCTGCGGCGGAAACACTTCCGTCACGCTGAGGGCCTTCCGCTTCCTGATGCCCGCGTTTATCTTGCTGAACTTACTGCGGAGCACATGCTGGATGTCGGCGATGCCCTTCGTTGTGCCTGCAAAGTATGAAATAGGATTAGTCTTATATTGAAGACACGTAATTTGGAAATCAAAAGTGAAATACATTGACATCTCCATTATTAATCTCAATTTTTAATTTTAACTCTAGAAACATTTATTTAAAATAAATAATTAACTTGCTTTTTTGGAAGATGAGGTCAATTATATTAATGGCCAAATTTCAACCATTACTTAAAAAATTGAAGGTCACTTTACTCCGAATTCAATTTAAACTCACCTGGCAACCTCAGGGAACTAGTTTGCAGCAGTTTTTTCGGCGAGTTGCCATCCTGAAGACTCTTCGCCGCCGGCGAGGCTTCTCTGCTGGCCGGTGTCGATCTCACCGCTTGTATAACACCATGATTCGTTCCACCCTGTATCAGCGCTTCCTGCGGCTCCGACGACTCCTGGATGGAGCATCGTCTTCGCAGCTTCCGCCAACGCTGGCTGATGCTCTTGTTCCACAGATTCAAATCTGAAAGAGAAACAGGAAAGCGTTTAAGATCAAGACATGAAATATTAGATATCATTCGTCCAAAAATAAAGTTGGCAGATATCATTTCTAGAAAAAAAATTTAAAAAAATAAGAAAAGAGAAGAAAGAAACGGTTCCACTTCCCAGCCATCAGGCCTAACGACCGGAAACACTTATCTTTCCCCTGAACGAGGTGGCACGACATCTTTATATTTACACGGAGATAACGAGTCGGGCCTGACGAAAAGACGCGTCACGGTATGGATGACTGTAACGGTAACGATAGGACACTATCGAGAGCAGAACAGCGTGTGCAAAGCAGCGACTCGTGTACGAAAATGAAATATAATGATCGTCACCACTCTCAGATACATACATTGCAAGATATTGCATTAAAAGGACATTAATTCTAGATAAAAAAAACGTTAGTCCATTTTAACGCAATTCATATTAATGATTCAGCTCCTCATAAGAAGATTTCTCCCACATAATACAATAAAATAAATTAAAACTTAACAAATAATTATTTTAGATATGTCACTAACTAAGAGTTATTTGTAATTACTGTAACGTAACTAATAATACTGTAGAAAGTATAACAAGAACTATCCCAACTTCATCAAGTGTCAGAATTTAATTGCGAGAATGCAATGTTGATCCTTTTAAAACTGACAAATATTTTATTTTAAGTAATCGAATAAGACGTCAATGCAATTTGTTATGCCTATAAAAAAAATTTCGATACCTATCAATATATTTTTATGTCTCTTATCGAGAGATTTCATCTTATCGAGTAATCTATGTCAAATATACTATCGATAAAATTTATCATCAAACGTTCAGGAAAAGCTTCTACCAAATACTAAAAGATAATTTAGAAACATCCTGCTCACATATACTTTTATCGCAGAATCTTAATTGTCAATTGTTTTCTTTTCGTCGTGCACACGCGACTAAATTACAGCTCCCATCGCAAGCCACAAATCAACCTAATTACAATTCAATATAGTCTCCATATCCTGCTCCACGTGTCCGGAAGAGACCAGCCGCGAAATGACCTCTCCGTAACGTCAGCCAGGTAGAGCCAACCCTTTCCTACTTCTTCCGTCTTGTCGCACCCCGCGCGACCTTGATGAACACCGGAACATAACCGACTCGACGCGTTTTCCGGCTCTCGAATCGTCTCACAGTCATGAATTATTGAAGCCGGCCGATGCGAGCTTTAGTGTCGGATTCGAGTCGTATCAGGAATTAATGCGATTAATTAAGTCCATCGCGTAACTTTCGATCGGCTTTCGTGCTACGGCCACAAGAAGACGGTCGCGATGATAACGATGATGACGCTCTCGACGACAACTCGTCACTGATGCACTAACGCCGATTGCGCCGTTGTTACCCCCGGTGGAGTTACCGTCATCAAAACGCACTTTCACTTCTCGTATCTCCGGATGCATCCGATTTTACGAGGTCTCTTTCGACGCGCACCGGACGTTGCGATCCTCGATGCTTTCGGCCGGCTCGTATGCAAGACCACGCACCGGTGAGTCCTTCTAATTGGCTGCTTTATTAGCTCGCACGGCGACGTGCGTGTTTGCGAATTGTGACGTCAGTTTTGGCATCGTCTCCAGATTTTGATGCTGCCACTTAAGGCGTTTCACGATAACGACGGTGTAATGAAGGATAATTTGGCGAGCGTGTCAATCGTGAAGTCTTCTTCTCGACGTTGAAGTTTGTCGCGGTATCGGAAATTTTGATAAAATAATGAATATTTCTTGGAATAAAATTTCACTTCGCCCCTGTAAAAACATGTCAAAATTCCGGAAAATTAATGAAATTGAACTTGCATGCCTTTCTATTCAAACCCGTAATATATCCCGCTTTTGTAGTCTTATTTTAACGCAAACATTGAAGTAAATATTGTTGGAGATCAAGTAAAACGATTAAACTTTTCTGACACGAAAGTTTTCAGCATTGTCGTCGTAAAATATTACAGTACTTTTAGGAATTTTAGCCGTTAAATTTCAGAGATCATTAAAAATTTCTTAAAAAAAAAATTAACGTGTCGCATATTATACGTTGATTTGCACTCTATTTTCTGTTTGCACATGACTGTTTTTTAATTCATGTTATCCGTGTTATTACAGTGCATCGGTCTTCGATTAGATAATAATTTAATTAAGATAAGACGCATTAATCCCGGAACAAATCAACTCCGTTAATAGATGCCTCTTGGAGAGTGGGATGTAATTAACATTCGCCGGCATCACGTAGTTTCATGCAAATCAGTATCGATCGCACAGACCGCGGGAAATCAAGCTCGTCCCGTTACAAATAATATCACTAAAAATTTCAATCTCGCTTGTCTGCCGACACTGCGTCTTCTGCGGATTTAAATTCCGCATAGCAATTTAGGACGGAGCGAATAATTTTTTCTCGCAAACTTGGAGAATCTAATACTCTTCCAGTATACTTTTGGATGTAACCCTGCAATTTGCTACCAGAATTTAGCACAAAGGATTTTCCAGATAAGACAGATAATAAATTAAAAAAGACCTGAGTTCTTAAAAGCTTTGACCTTTTACAAAAGATCTTTTTCTTTTTTTGTTACAAAAATTTTTCACAATTTCACGACCTTTTTTCTACCTTGTTACAAAAATTGATCAGTATTTCACAGAATTCTTTTTGTTCTTAATTACATTCTTCAGGAATCCTAAATTTAACAGTTGCCCATTGCTTTGTCCTTTATCAACTCGCAATAAGGGTCCCTTTCTTAACGGGATTTTTCACGGGTTTTTTCACATTCTTCTCGAGATAATACTTCGTCCATAAATCTAAGTGGTTTCCTTTTACAAGGCAAATTTTGAAAGCTTGTACTCGTCCGGGTGTAGCATCATCTGCAGCTCCAGACACAATAGCTCGGTATAAAAAAATAAAAAACCGATTACGTAGGCCAACATTTCGAATCACAGAAAAATCGCTGTTTGGTCCACGCACAAATGTTCCGCCGCGCTGTCGGTCACGGTCGTCGATCGTCCTTCGATCCTTCGCGTCCGGCGACGCGAGACCGATCCTCACGATCGCGCACGACTGTTGTTTCCTCGTCGACGAATTGCCTTCGTCAAGGAAATCGCACAGTCTACACCGAGCGCTGTCTCGGCATGGACTGAGAGAACCTCTCGAGGTTCAAGCCGTTCACGTTGCCATGTGCGCGTGTAAAAGGCGTCACACGCGTGTGTGTGCCGGCGTGCACACTACACGTGCGCGCCTCTCGCTACCTGTGCATACAGGGTGACACCAAACTACTTGGTGTTCAGAATCAGTCATTCTCACAAACATGAAACCTCAAAATGCAAATAAAGGTTTTATCCGCAATTTAATTTAAAGGACATGATAATAGAATAAAATTATTTTTTAACATTCAGTCGTAAAGATCTTGGAAGTTTAAAGTTAACTAGCAAGATGTAATCTAAACTAACGCTTTAACAATTTACCGAAGGAACTATAAATGAACGTTTCCTCCTCGAATTATCGTTTCGAACAATCCTTGTGGTTCTCTCAATTGTTAAACATGTATTTCACTATCTTGTCTGTCGTAATGTTTTACCGAAGCGTTAAATTCAAATCGTCAGGTCTTGGCACTTAATCGAATATTCATGTGAGGTGAGAGTTCTTTTTTTTAACGTTTTACCGTGTACGTGGCTCGGTTGCAGACAGATTGTGTCTGATTGTGGGAACTTTTCGCTGTATGTAGCGCGAGCGGTCTATTTCGCTCATGGACGCGCGAACACGTGTGTCGTCCACCTATGTGCACACAAATAACACACACGCATAGAGACACACACGTGCGCGCACCTATTAATGTACATCACGGCTCCGTGCACACCCTACGTGCGATTGCACTCGCGCGCTTCATGGTCAGGGCGGGACGCCTTGTTCCCCGCGATAATGTGAGTGTGTCCTTTATATATGGATCCGCATGAAAGTGGACACGCACGCTTTCACGAGTGGCATGACAATTTTCAAACGAGCAGCTCAATAACCAGCCATACAAAAAATCAATTAGCTAAGAATAATTAAATTTCGTACGGTCTATCTACCTCCTTTTCTCTACTTCCGCCAACCCTCGCTCTTCTCTTTATCTGCAGTACAAATAGAACGATAGCGATGATTAATTTAACAATTAAACAATTTTATGTGAAAGCAAGGAAGCAATGAATCATCTGTTCGTTCGTATGATGAAATTATAAATGCTCAGAAATTGTTAGTTTAATTCATCTCTAGAGAAAAAGACAGAGAGTTAATTTTTATTTTCACACAATTTTACCTAAGTATCATTTCATACTTTTTTTTTTTTTAAAGTAAAAGATTTTTCCATGTAGAAAATATTAAAAAAAAATTCTTTTACCTTTCTTTTTGCACCACTCCATTCATCGGAAGATCATTTACTGACATCGTTCTATAAAAGAGAGTTATGGTACGCGAATCGGGCTCTATTTTATAGTCTTATATACAAAGCTCACACATAAATAAGCAAACGCGGCCAGGAGTGACGAGGCTGTCGGCGGGCGACGATAAACGCGCTTTAAAGAGATACACATGTAAGCACGCACGCACGCACGCATACGCAGCAGCACGTGCGCGAGCGCACGTGCGCTTGTGTAAGTTTGCACGCGTGTATGCGTGACTTAAGTGACATGCCATGCATGAGGTCAAGCCCGGAGAATGTTTCTTCTATTGCTCATTGTGTCTCGAGACCCCTATGCCGCATTCGAAGTAAATGGTCGCCTTCGATGGGAATTTGCGTCGAGACTTTGAAACGGCGAAAGCAAAAACCATTCGCCTACGTCCGCCGAATTTTTCCGGCAAGAAAAAAGATCTTAAAAGTACCTCCAAACGTTACCTTCTTTTATATTTTGCATTGTTTTCTCTAAATACCAAACGATTCAGTCGATTTATGAATGCATTAGCTACTTTCAAAAAGTCATATATGATTAAAATAAA